GTCTAGCCTTGCCTGTTGTGAGGTCTGCAACTTTTGGCAAGAAGCTTCTCTCATTCTTGTCTGTTAAAAAGATTTTTAAACCAGTTGCAGCCAACATGTGACTGGGGGTTCATAGAGGTATGGGGGGCTTTATCCTAATGGCAGCCATAAAGAAACTGGTATTACATCCATTTTTCAGAACAGCAACTAAAGTACCTCAGCGTTTGCCTTGTGCCATGATGACAAGGAAGGGCCTCTGCCTCTGAGGATTGTGCACATTGTTTTACATTTGTAAAACGTTCTGATTGTTCTCGCTTTGGCCAGATGGAGCCCGGGTAACTTTTCAGTTGTTGGACATATTCCTGTTGAAGGTACAAAGTTTTATTCAGTGTGCGCTGAAAATTACTTTAGTTATTATACATACATAAGGCTTTTTTTGGTGTTGATGGAATGGTTGGGCCTTCCTATTAACAATGTGTAGATGGTTCGATAGTAAATGTGAAATACGTTTGTTTTTTAATGATAGTGGTTTTATTTTACCTAGAAGTCTCTAAATTGGAGATTTTAAACTTCGGATTCTTGAAGTTTCTGTTCTCTAGCATAAGGACAAAAAGACATAATAAAGTGTCTTAGCTGGTGGATAATAATGCCAAACTCGTCTTTTGTTTTTTTTTTTTTTTTAAGAAATTTATTTATTTATTTGACAGAGCACAAGTAGGGAGAGGGAGAAGCAGACTCTCCCACTGAGCAGAGCCTAATGGAGGGCTCAAACCCAGGACCCTGGGATCACGACCTGAGCGGAAGCACTTAACTGAGCCAGCCAGGCGCCCCGCCCCAAACTCGTTTTTATTTGCCTGTTGGGTAGCTTTTGTATTAATATTTGAATATCCTTGTTTTTTAAGCAACATATAATTCACAGACCACGTTATAGTTCCAGATGTACAGCATAGCAGTTTGATATTTCTATATACTGTGAAATGATCACAGTAAGTCTAGTTAACCCTTGTCATAAAGCCTTTAAAAAAGATACACTCCAGGACACCTAGGTGGCTCGGTCAGTGAAGCATTTGCCTTTGGCTCAGGTCATGATCCCACGGTCCTGGGATTGCACCCTGCCTGCATTGGGAAGCCTGTTTCTCCCTCTGCCTGCCGTTCTCCCTGCTTTTGTGCGTGCACGCGCTGTCAAATAAAATTTCTTTTTAAAAAAAAAGTACACTCTTAGCAACGTTGCAATATACAATAAGTATAATTGGAAGTTTGTACATTTGACCACCCATTTCTCGCTGCTGGCAACCACCATAATGTATCTATTCTCTGTATCTATGAACTTGTGTTTTTTGGTGATGGTGGTGGTTTTGTTGAGATTCCACATATAAGTGAGACTATGGGATTTGACTCTGAGTTAGTCCACTTGGCATAATGCACTCAAGGTCCATCCACGTTGTTGCAGGTGGCGAGATTCCATTCTTTATATGGCTGAGCTGAGTAATACCCCACTGTGTGTGTGTATACTACCTCTCTTGCCCATTCAACCGTCAGTAGATGCTTAACGTTCCGTGTCTTGGCCACTGGAAATAATGCAGTGAACATGGGGGAGCTTCTCTCTTCCAGTTAGCACTTGAATTTTCTTTGGATAAATACCCAGAAGTGGGATTGCTGCATCATCACTTTTGAGGAACCTCTATACTGTTTTCCATAGTGACTGTGCCATTTTGCATTTCCACCAACGATGCACAGGGGTTTCCTTTCTCCACATCCGCACCAGCACTATTTGTCTGTTGGGTTTTAGATCTAGCCAATCTGACACGTGTGAGGTGAACTCACTGTGATTTTGATTCGCATTTCCCTGATCAGTGTTGATGAGCACCTGTTCATGTACCTGTTGGTCATCTGTGTCTTAAGGAAAACACCTATTCGGATTCTCTGCCCATTTTTAAATTACATTGGAATTTTTTGCTATTGAGTTGGAGTCGCTTGTGTATTTTTGGTGTTAACCTCATGTCAGAAACATGATTTGCAAGCATTTTTTTCCTTTTCAAGATTGATTTGGGATCTTTTGTGGTTCCGTACAAATTTTAGGGTTGATTCTTCTACTTATATGAAAAACGCCTTTGGTGGGGCACCTGGGTGGCTCAGTTGGTTAAGCCTCTCTCTGCCTTTAGCTCAGGTCATGATCCCAGAGTCCCAGGATAGAGCCCCACTTGTGCTCACACCACGCTCGCGCTCTCAAATGTTTAAAAAAAGAAAACACCTTTGGAATTCTGATAGGGATTACATTGAGTTTGTCTATTGCTTGGGGTAATGGGGGTATTTTAACTATTTTTCCAAATATCGTTTCATTTTGTGTCTTCAGTCTTTTTCTCATCAGTATCTTACGGTAAGTGTCCAGGTTTTTTATCTTTGGTTAAATCTATTTCTAGGTATTTTATATTTGTTGATGTTTTGTAAATAGGAAGATAGCATGTCTTCTGTTCAGCATTCATCGGTGCAAAAAACAAAGCCATGTTACGACTTGGGGTATTGGGAAAGGTAGAGTGTATTTCTCCATTTTGATCCTATCTCTTTCCCATCAACTGTGCTAGGAAAACTGTCACTTTTTCACAGTCATGGAGCTTTCCCTGGGAGCAAGGGGTCATGATGCCAAGAATATTGGAAGTGCCCAGTAATAACGGAGATTGCTTGAATTGTTTTGCTATAATTAAAGATAATGGCCACTTCATAACAAGTGAAATACCCTCTTTAAGGGGGTGGGGATAGTTGGGTTTTACCCCAGTGACAGTGTGATTAGCTGTGAGCCTTTGTGGTAATCACAGTGAGTATGAGCCTTTGGGCCAGGGTTTACCCCCAGGATCACAAGGGCAGTCCAGCATGGAGTGGTCTGGAGCTGTGCTGTGGGCACGGTGCAAGACCTCCTGTGCCTGGGGCTGCTGCGGAAAAAGTCAGAAGCTGACATCTGCTGAGTTCTCTTTTGCCATGCATTGTTAGCACATCCACACCATAATTTTTTTAGTGAAAACCACAGAATGATAAAGTGAATGACGATATTCAACTTAAACATGTGCGCAGCCTGTGAGTTTTCTCAGGTCTAGAAGCTGGTACTGCCAGTCCAGTGTTACCACTAAGGAAGGTGGTTTAGCCTCAGATTTGACTAGTAGGGCTTCCCCAACTCCAGCAGGTTAGCTCTTGAAGCTCTGTGCTTCATTGTGGGAGTTAAGCAACAGTTGCACAGAGTCTTGCAGGGAAACATTAAGTCCTTTTCTGGGGATTGTCTCATTACTCTCCTGACACCTTCAAGGAAAGTTCTCCTTCTTCCAGATGAGAACAGAGGTGTGTGTGGTCACTTGTCCTCTTTGGTAAGAGTGTGGCCATAGTGACCTGCCTTAGGGTTGTGGGGGGATTGCAAGAGTCACAGTGGCCATACATTGATTTCATGATAACGGAGCTCCTTAAGAGGTGGGGGATTCGAACCGAAGAAGTCTGAAGTGAGCCAGACACCTCAGTCTGTACTTCCTTCTCTCTTACCAGGTAATGCACTGTTGCGGCGACTAGTGCGCATTGGAGTGCTGGATGAGGGCAAGATGAAGCTGGATTACATCCTGGGCCTGAAGATCGAGGATTTCTTGGAGAGGCGCCTGCAGACCCAGGTCTTCAAGCTGGGCTTGGCCAAGTCGATCCACCACGCCCGTGTGCTGATCCGCCAGCGCCATATCAGGTAACGCCTCTAATGGGCTCCCTGAGTCTGTCTTCTGCCCCATCCCCCATGTTAAGTTTGCTGTCCTTACCTCCTATGCAGCCCTTGGAGGTGACAGGTGTGAACACACCTTGAGGGTACAGATTGACCCCTGAAAACAGCTCATGGGGTGCTGGGGACAGCCTCATTCCCCACCCTGTAGCCCAGCGCAAGCGTCACTGCGGCCTGAGCCGTACACCTTGCGAAGGCTTCTTCAGGCATACAGGCAACCAGACAGGTAACCACTCGGTGTGCCCAGTTGAGAGAAGTTGTTGGGCCTCAGCTGATGTGGGTGGGTTTGTGGATTCAGCTGTCTGTTTTCGCACACTGTCATTGTTAACTTGGCGAGTGGACTACAGCCCGTGGTCTGATACTCAAGTGCTGGGAGAACAGGAGTCCAGCTGGCTTGGGGGGCAGATGGGTCTTTCATCTGGGTGCTCGATTCGCCCTTTTTCAGATTTTGTAGAACGGAGTCTCAGCTGCCTCAAGGACAGGGAGGCTGCTCCTTAGAGTAAAACCCTGTGTCTGGCACTTTGAGACTCAGACCCTGGAATTACTGGCTGCCACCAGCTCGCCCTCCTTACTTTGTGGCCTGGTGTGAGTTGAGTGATGCTCTAGAGCTCTCCAGAACACATGGGTGTTGGAGGGTCAGGAACTCCTTTCTGGTTGGTATCGCTGCAGCACCAACCCTGTCAAGTCCAAGCAGAGAGCAGCAGTGTCTCCTCCCACTGGGACCTGTTCTCCCGCCCCCTCCCCTGCCCTCACCTGCCCTCCCCTGCCGTCCCCTCTCCAGGGTCCGAAAGCAGGTGGTGAACATCCCGTCCTTCATTGTCCGTCTGGATTCCCAGAAGCACATTGACTTCTCCCTGCGTTCTCCGTATGGGGGCGGCCGCCCAGGCCGTGTGAAAAGGAAGAATGCCAAGAAAGGCCAGGGCGGGGCTGGAGCTGGCGATGACGAAGAGGAGGATTGAGCCCACCCTTCCATCCCCTCAGGGCGTGAACTGTCTAGTTTCCCAGTCAGATAATAAAACAGTCAACCCTTTGGAACTGGTGTTTATTGGTGTGTGTGTCTCCCTCCCTGCTCTGAATGTACATACAGCTTCTGGTGGGAAGAGGCACAGGCCGGATCCTTGACCAGGTTCCGTCCAGCTAGTTCACACCTCTGGTCCTTGCCTGCTTAGAGGGGCCTGACGAGCCTACCAGCTGGTGTCCTTGCTGCTTGGGGCAGGGGTGCAATCGTGAGCAGCACAAACATACAGCAGTTATTTCAGTGGGGACACCGGTGTTAGGGGAAGTTCTCAAGCCAGCTGTTGGCATGGGGGTGGAGAGATTCCTTTCCAGGCAGAGGAAGTAGCAAATGGAGGGTCAGCCCAGTGTCCCTAGCCCTTTGAACCTTGACCCTGGCAAAAAGAAGTCAGGGTTAAGGTTGGCAGGAGCTGAATGCTGAACCTTGGGTTGCCGGTGAGGATGGACTAGTTGAATTGGGGTTTGCTGGGGAGCACTGAACAGGAAGGACAAGCTGGTTTAAAGCTTACTGGTGTGATGGGAAAGGGGCAGCTGAGGCACCCTGCTCCCCTCCCCCTGCATCTGGAGTTTCTGAACACAAGGTCAGGAGGGAGAGCAGCTTCCCTTTTCTCTGCCTTGTTGAGAGCTGCACCTGGCAGAGGAAGGGGCTTGGTCTCAATGAAACCGGAAGCCCTGGCATTGAGCAACCCCTCGGGCTGCAGCATTGCTCATGAGTGATCTTTTGAGGCCTTGGGCTCTGAGGTCAGTTGAAAGTGCCCAGCTTCAGTGTGATGGCAGCCGGTACTGCAAAGCCTCCAGAAGGTCCCCAGTTCTTGCAGCTTAGTGCTGGGTTCCCCCTGACACCACAAGGTTGCCACTAGGTAATTAAAGGTCTTGGCGTTTCTCAGGGATCCTCCTAGGCACAGTAAGATCAGCTGTGCCATGATGGGAATTCAGGAAGCAATCAACTTCCACAAGGTCCCAGGAGTTGCTGCTGGTCTTTGTCCTGCCTCCAGGCTCCTTAGGTAGCACCCACTGTGGGCAGCTATTGTGCCTTCCAGGATCCCTGCAGGGAGCCTTGCAGACCCTTGGAGTGGCCGTCTGGGTCCTTCCTGGGCTAGCGGATGGCCAGAGAAGCATACGCATTGGGCTCATCTGGGGGCTCCCCTGGTTGGGAGGAAGGGGGTGCACCTGTCACCTGTGTGAGGGTCAAGTAGTTCAGCTGGGCATAGGTCACATCTTGAGGGTCTTCAGATCCCGCAGCCTGGAACTGGGGGAAAGGAAAGGCACGTGGCTGGGGAGGGGAGGATGCACTCCCTGGGGGTCTAAGGACCTTGCTAGACAGGAGTGGCCTTGAGCCAACTCTTGCCCTCCCTCAGTGTATCTGGGGAGGAGGGATGTGAATTGGAAATGCCTGTGGTGTAGACACGGAGCGGGCACGTGGGTAGTTGGCCATGGGAATCGTGCTGGGCGAGGTCAAGGCTGGAGGCAGGAATTGGGGTGGGCCATCAACGTGGAGGGACAGGCAGACCCAGGGCCCCCTGCAAGGGGGCTCAGCTGGGCCAGCTCGTTGGCCAGGGTGAACTGCGTGGACCTGCCACAGGTTTTTGGGGAAACAGGAAGGAGAAGGCTGAGTGAGGCTGCAGGACCACTGTGTGTGGAGTTGAGGAGGCGCCTTCTCTGGGCCTCCACAGGCCCAGGGCGTGGGTCAGCCCCGCTGTGCAGGGCACACACCGCTCAGCCCTAACCTCCAGCTCCGCCCACTCGAGTGCCCCAGCAGCTGGAGACCAGAAGAGGCCCAGGGGAGTGGGCTGGCCGCAGCACAGAGAGTGGTGGGCTTCCGGAAGGGAGAGGCCTGCTGCTGGGCGCAGAGTCCACTGGGTTGACCACGTGAGCAGGGAGGCAAGGATGTCAGGAGCACAGGGAGCTCACCTGGCTGTCCAGCTGTCTGTCTTCCTCAGGCAGTGTGTCTTCCATGACAGCATCTGGTGGGGACAAAACAAGGTGGCCCCCTCTCTTGCCAAGATCCCCTGAGATCTCACATGGCAGGAGCCCAGAGAGGGTCAGTGATGTTACAAAGCCACACGGAGTCAGGTGCTACGCTATCCCCCGCCTGCACCGCCCACCCGCATCTCTGGGCCCGCCTCCTCCCTCCCCCAGGGCGGCCCCGCGCTTCCCCTTACACAAGGACTCCTCCTGGGCAGTGGCGGCCGGACCGGGCCTGGGGAGGAGACGGGGGAGTTAGCGGCAGTGAGGGGCCACTGGCTGGCAGGAGTCGGGGTCTTGGGGTGGTCTTACCTCCCGTGCAGGCCCCTGTCCTCAGACACCTCCGCTGACACTGCTGTAGGAAGTTGGAAATCTGCCTCAGGCTCCCCGCCACCATCCCCGAACCGTCCAGGGCCTGCCTTAAGCTGAGGCTCTGTATGATCCCCACCCATCCCCACGTACAAGTCAAGAGAAAGCAGTTCTGAACAATGAAAAACAAAGCTTGTATGTGTTTTCAAACATTTCATAAGTTCGAAAAGCCAAAAGGATAAAATATTTACATGTATGTTCACATGTACCCTTCTTTCTAGGGTTTCTCACTGGGAGATGCTGGAGTCTTTTTACACGGCCTTTCCCACCTCTCCGGCTTCCCTCTCTGGCTGGTGTTCTGAGCCCACCCTCGGTCGGCCCACGGGGCAGCCACCACGCCCTGGGGCCCGTCACCCCCTCCCCTTCTCACCTGGCTTCCTGCCTCTGCCCCGACGCCGGTGTCGGACCAGGAGGAGGCCGAGGAGGCCGAGCAGCAGGACGAAGGCCACCGAGACCCCGATGAGGACGTACAGGTACCAGTGGGGACCTGGGGCAGGAGCCACACCATGAAGGAGCCAGTGATGCCATTTAACTGAGCACCTGCTGTGTGCCAGGCACCTGCTGGGCTCTGTGCATTCACCTCTGACCCTGTCAGTGATCACGCAGCAGGGAATTGCCGCCCATCCCGCCCACTCCACAGACAAGAAACTGAGGCACAGAGGGGTCATGCACGTGTCTCAGGTCGCCCAGCGTGGAGGCGGCAGGGCTGGGGCTGGAACCAGGGCTGTGGGTTCCCTTGTAGGATTTGAGGTTTTTTTCTTGCTGCCCCCTTACCCTCCAGGCAGAATACCTGAGTGGAGACCTGTCCACCAAACCCAAGCCCAGACCCGTCTCCCCGACTGCACAGGCCTGACCCCCCACAGGGGCGTGTGTGGGCCTGGAGTGTGTATATGGGTGAGGGCAGGAGGGAGGGCTCTGCCTCTCCAGAGATCCAAGAAGGCCCATGCTGAGGCTTTCACCGAAAACTCACAGCGGCCCTGAGGGAGGTGGCGGGAGGCCTGTTGTGCAGACAGTGAGCCTGGGTCACCGAGAGGGACATGACTTGTCCAAGAGCCCACAGCTGGGAAGTAGCAGAGCTGGGGTCTGATCGTGGGGGTGTGACTTCCAAGGCTTGTTCTTGCCCTGACTCCCCAGATGCTCTCAGGCTGGGCCCCCTTACCTTCTGTGAAGGTGAACTCAGACGCCTCCTGGTTGTGCCTACTCCCCCGCCCCGCACGGGGATGGGGCCACCTTCTTGCAGGTGAGGGGCAGGGGCTACGTGCTCCCAACTTCAGGGTGCTCCTCCCCCCACTGGGCGCCACCCTCTCCCTCTGCCATGACCACACCACCTGCCACCTGGCCCAGGCTCAGAGCCCCCAGGGCCCCGTGGTTACCCCAGACACAAGCCATGCCACAGAAGATGACCTTCTGTGACCCCCTCTCACTCCCATTCCCTGAGAACAGGTCCCTGAGCTGACCATGAGGACAAAAATGGGACAGGGCTGGGCTCCTCACCTGAGACCAGGAGCTCCAGGGGGTCACTGGGCTGTGACAACAGGTAGGGAGAGTTGCTGTGTGAGCTGTAGCACCTGTAGGTCCCCTCGTGGTCTGAGGTCACAGGACTCAGGGTGAACTTGACCTGGTTAGGTATCGCTGTGTCCTGCAGATGAAGGACCTGGGGAGGAGCCAGGGACCCCTCCTTGGACAGGTGGAAGCTATCAAACCAGACCTCAGAGCGACACTGCAGAGTCACGTTCTCTCCCCAGGACACTGAAGGCCCTGGCTGGGCTGAGAGGGTCGGTTTCTCATACATTCCTGGGGGAGAGCAAGGTCGTGACGTGTAGAGAGCCACCCCTCCCCACACGCCCTTGACCCTGAGCTGGGGACCACCATCCTCTCTCCAGAGACTCTCTGTGGGGCCCCCTCTCAGCACCTCTTGTCTCTCTGAGTGGGCGTCCTTTATCTCCATGGCCCTCACTGTCCCTCTCTCAGGCCCGGTCTCTAGACCACGTCTCCATATCAGCCTGTGCTCCTGACCCTTTCCCTGGACCCCATCACCCAGGGGCAACCGTGTTCCCAGGCCCTGAGTCGGGACGTGGGGCCGGGGGCTCCTCACCTGTGATCAGGACGTCCAGAGGGGCACTGGGTGCCGACCACGTGGAGGAGAGCTTGTGTCCACAGTAGCATCTGTATCGGCCCCCGTGGGAGCGGCTCACAGGGCCCAGGGTGAAGTTGGGGCTGGGTTGCCCGTCTAGACACTGGGGAGCTCTGAGCTCCTCATCCTTGGTCAGAGCGAATCTGTCAAAGCCAGTCTCTGAGCGACACAGGAGGCTCAGGCTGTCTCCAGACTGCACCAGGGGGCCCGGCTGGGCCGAGAGGGAGGGCTCCCTGTAGACACCTGGCCAGAAGGGGACAGTGGTACTGAGGGGACTCACACCCAACTTTGGCCCAGGGCCTGCCGTGAGGCTCGTATGGGTCCCTCCCAAGGCCTCCCACCTGTGGGTCTGGCCCCAGGACGACCTTGTCACCCACCCCCCATCAACCCCAGGGCTCCACTGGGCACATGGCTTAGGTCAGTCATCTGGGCCCAGGAGGTAGTTGGGGTGAAGCAGGGGCCCCCTCACCTGTGACCTGAAGGTGCAGAGGGTTACTGGGCTGTGACCACAAATATGGGTACGATTCGGGAGAAATGTAGCATCTGTAGGTCCCCCCATGGGAGGTGTTCACAGGGCCCACAAGGAAGACTGCCTGGTACCGCTTCCGACGGAACGTCAATTCCAGGTATTGGGGCACATCAGCTCCCCCCTCCTTCAGCAGATGGAATGACCCCCGTGGCCACGGTGAGCTACAGGAGAGGGACACATTCCCTCCCGAGGCCACCACAAGGGTTGGGTTGGCTGAGAAGGAGGGTGCATCATACACTCCTGAGAGAGAAGGAAGGAGCTGTGTTATAGGGGCCATCAACCCATGTACCCCATGGACTGTGGACTGTGAGCAAGGGGTCCCCCTGAGGCCACACTCCATTCTCTTCTGCCTGGAGGAGGGCCCCCAGGGGGAGGGGACCAGCTCCTGCCCTCACCTGTCACCACCAGGGTCAGGAGGTCACTCCCCTGTGACCAGCTCTTCCCTCTCTGATATGCACACTGGTATTTCCCTGAATTGTGTGAGCTTATGGATGCAAAGGAGACACTGGCCCTGTTGCTGGAATCCTGTGGGGTCTTCATGGGCCAGGATCCATGGACACTCTCTTTATACAGATAGTAGACATCAGCCTGCAGAGACGCCTGACACCAGATGGTCAGAGGGCTCCCCTTGGTGACCATGGGGCCAGGATCAGCCCAGATGGAGGGTTTGGGGAGGGTCCCTGGAAAGGAATCAGATGGAGTTGCAAGGGTACCCTTCTCTCTTCAGTTTCCCACCTGTCGCCCCAAGGCCCTTCCCACACCGGTCACCATCAGCCCTGACCCTCTGCACCCTCCAGCTGCCCAGGGGGTTGTTGGGCAGAAGCAGGAGGTCTGGGGAGGACTTACCTGTCCGTGCCTGGTCCCACAGGCCCTGACACAGCCCTGGAAGAGAGTTCCTGTGAGTGCGTCCCCCACCCACACGTAGCTGCTCCAGGCCTGGTTTGGGCCCCTGGGTACTGGGGTCACATCTGGGGCTGAGCACACTCCTTCCCCCAGAAGTTCTGCCCCCACTGATCCTCCACAGTCCTGAGATCTCCCAGGGACCAGGACCTGGGGGCTGGGGGGGAGGGCAACCCCATCCCTCCTCGTTTCCAGAAAGCTCACCAAGGTAGAGAAGGGCAGTGGGGGTCAGGGTCCCAGCGCTGCCTCCCATGGTCCTCAGCCGTGCAGACAGCTTATAAAGTCCTCAGAGTGTGATGGACGGACAGATGCACAGGGTGTGACCCAGCCCAGGCCCCTTGTTGCTGGTCACGTGTCCCGGATGGATGGCCTCACAGGAAGGAGGAGAGCCCCCCCAGGGCCTCGCTCTGCTCTCCCTGAAGGGTGACATGAGAGCAGCAGGTCCTGGGACTGTTCAAAGCAGATGTGAGTCTCCCCAGACCACACTCACTCCGCCTCCTCCCCACCAAGCCCAAGTCCAGAGGACAGCACCGGTCCCCGCACGTGAAGCTTGGGGAGGTAGGGCAGGGTCTGGGAGCCAGCCCACTTTCAGTTCCACTTCTGCCCCTTACTCACACAGAGGCTGTGTGACCTGGGCTGTGACACTTCCCTTTCCTGAGCTTCTGTAAATGCAAATTTTCGTCCTTCCTTCCACCACACTGACAATCAGCCAGTGATTAGTGAGCAGTGACCGCATCCAGTCATGGCACCAGGCACTGGAGATTCACTGGTGAGGGGGCAGACTCGTTCCTTCCCTGGATGCATGGGGCTGTGATTAGTGATAACAGACAATATAAATATTTAGGTGGGAAACAATTCTATTATAGTCTTATAAGACTCTTCCAAGTTGGAAGAAAAAAGAAAACGGAATCATGAGAATCATAATGTGTAGACATCACACAGTCTGGGTCCTAGTGGTGAAGGGTCCTTCTGGGCAGTGGAGTGATGGAAGGCAGGAGCTGGGGTTTAGCACAGAGATAGGAGTGGGGAGCATCCTCAACCAGAAAGATTGGAGCTGTTCTCAGAACTGAGAGCAATCAGGAAGCCAGGGCCTTGTCACACAGGATTTTGAGCATCATGCAAACATTTGGGATTTCTACTTTAAGGCAATGGGAAGATTTTAACCAGCAGACAGTCAAACAAATTTCTGTCTGGAGAAGACTAACGCTGTAGGAAATACAATTAGTAGTCAAACCCCAGCATTTGTCTGGTCCCTGGGTGGTGTGTTGATCACTAATTATGCTGTGTATGTAGTTTTCTCACTTAAGTCTTACCTGAACCTATCACACAAAACACATGTACGGTTGAGCAGAACGAGCCAGGATGGTAGGTTGGAGAGGAGTTAACCAGGTTCAGATTGGCTGAGGGGACAGCCCGAGAGAAGGCATGGAATTGTTAATAGCTCAGTTTGTGTTGCTTGGGGAGGTGTTTGGGTTGGAGTGTAAGTTGTGTTTGCTGGGGCTGGTGGGTTTAGTTCTAGTCTGATGGTCATAGCCTTGAAGATGAGATGGTACAACTTAGATCTTTCTGCAGCAGAGTGCGGGAGGGTTTTGAGTCTCCCACAGGATCAGACCAGCCTGGTGATTAAAAGGATCCTCTGGAGGTGGTGGAGGAATAAACTGGGGAGAGGAGGAGCAGTGGGCAGGCTGACAAGCTGATGCACACAGGCTTCTTGAGTTCTTGTGATGGAGTGGACGTTAAGAGGGTCTCAGGGGCCTGGCGGTGTGTATCCGGTGAGTGGACATGAGCACCGGAGCACGAGGCTGTTCCACCCTCTGTCTGGTGCCTGGAGGAGCCAGTGGGGCCACCCCAGGAGGATGACCCAGGGAGAGGCAGGCAGTGGGAGGTGCTGTGAAGACAGATTGTCATTTCTCAGAAGGAAGCACGGCCCTTCCTCCTGCCCGGGGATTGTGGATTTTCTTTGCCCCCCCAACACTTCCCTTCACTGACTTCCTTGTTTCTGTAAGTCAGCGCCATCTTTCTCTTCATCACTCCTTCTAAACCTCTGATTCATTTCTGCCTCCTCAGGGCCCCGTCCTCCCCTGGGCGGAGCTCTCCATCCCATACTGTGAATTCCTTCTCCAGGCACGGGGTTAAGAGCCCGGGTTGGAGGCAATTCAGAGATCGAATTGAAGTTAGAGCTGAAACACTCTTTAGTGTCATTCTTTAGCAGATACTTCCCCTTTCTGAGTCTCCTGTTCCTCATAGTGACAACATAGCGGCCTCTCCCGTCAGGGTTGCTGTGGTGCCTCAGGATTGCTGTGGTCCGGGGTGGTTTCATATGTGGCTTGTAGGCATTGAGATGCCCGCAGTGTCAGAGTTCATATCACAGGGTCAATTGAAGGCCACAGCCAACATCCACTCCAAGCACACAGAAATGCCAGATAAAGATTTGTAAGATACATGGCCACAGTTAAATTAGAGTAACTAAAGTGCCAGAAATGCAGAGTGACTCCCTAGACATAAGCAGAGACCAACACTGAGTGGGCTTGGTCATGGGTCCCAGAGATGGGCCCCAGGATCTGGTTTACTGTGTATGTATGGAGACAGGTGGCAAAGCTCCAGAGGAGACAGGGTTCCAGGTATAAGGTTGGGAGCTCTGAGCCTGCTGCCTGTCTGAACAGGGACTGCAATATCTCCACTCCCCGATCTGAGGTCACACCCAGAATTCAGCTCCTTTCTCCAGGTGTGAGTGAAAAATATTCAGTGCAATATGGGCAGGTATCAGTGTAGTGTGGAGCTCAATTTTGAATACTCCATGCATTGCTGGCACCCTGAGTTTGGAACACCTACCCATTGTGAGTCTGAAGCAATTGCAAGCTAGTCACTTGTTTAGGACTTCACAATACAGGAGAATGGGGGTGATAACTTCTGTGAAGGGTTAGCTCAGTGGCAAAATGACCAAGTGTATGCGATCAGCTATGCCATGAAAAACAGAGTACAGACCCAGTCACTGTGGGAATTCCCAACAAAGACGAGGGAGATAAATTGAAAATCGGGAAGAGATTTAAAATTAAGTATGCTTTAAATCTTCAAACAGAAGATGTGACATTCACGATACAAGAAGAGTTTAGTGGAAAAAAGGGTGCTAAGGAAATTTCATAGATAAAAACTCATTAATTGAATAAAAGGATTCAAAAGATCTATTCCATAATAGACATTAGATAACTGATCAGAAAACTGGGGACTTGGAACATGAAACTCAGGAAGTATCCCAGAATGCAGCTGAACATCATGAAAATAGAAACCAAAAAGATAAAATCTGACACATGGAGAATAGAATAACTAAGTCCCAAGACACATTTGTCCTTCATTTTAGTGGAAGAAATGAGAGAATGATCAAGTGACAGCAATTAGGTATTGTTGTTAAGGGTTTTTTGGAAGTGAAACCAGAGAAATGGTCAGCATGGGCTATGAAAGCTGAACTGTTACTGGGAGCTACATCCTCGAAAGCAGGTCAAAATGTCAGCTAGTGGGATGCCTGGGTGGTTCAGTTGGTTAAGCGTCTGCCTTTGGCTCAGATCATGATCCCAGGGTTCTGGGATCAAGCCCTGTATTGGGCCCCTGCTCAGCAGGGAGCCTGCTTCTCCCTCTGCCTCTGCCCCTGCTTGTGCTCTCTCTGACAAATAAATAAAATCTTAAAAAAAAAAAAAAGTGTACCTACCCAGGTTGACAGCCTGCTCAAACAAACAAAAATCCACATTCCCCAGAAGATTTTATCAGAACCCAGTGTCTTCTAATGTAATATTCAAAGAAACAGGAAAGTCTCAGTAACACTCAAAGGAAAAAATAATCAACAAACACCAACCCTGAGTTCACCAACAGTTTAAAGCCATTTTTTAAAAGATTTATTTATTTATTTTGGGGGGAGGGGCAAAAGGAGAGAGAGAGAGATCTCAAGCAGACTCCCTGCTGAGTTTGGAGCCCAATGTGCAGCTCCATCTTATGACCCTGAGATCATGACCTGAACCAAAATCAAGAGTCACTTGCCTAACTGACTGGGCCACCCAGGTGCCCCAAAGCCATTTTTATAATCAAGCTTCATGAAATAAAGACAAACACTCTTGAAATAAATGGAAAAAATAGACGTCTCTCAGCAAAGAAATTATAAGAGGGGGGAAAAAAGGAAATTTTAGAACTGAAAAGTTCAGTAACTGAAATTAAAAGTTCCTGTGTCTAATGACAGAATGAAGATGACAGAAGCAAGAGTCAGTGAACTTGAAAACAGAACAAGGGAAATTACAATCTGAGCAGTAGAGAAAAAAAGATTTTTAAAAATGAACACAGGGGTGCCTGGGTGGCTCAGATGGTTAAGCGTCTGTCTTCGGCTCAGGTCCTGGTCCCGGGGTCCTGGGATGGAGCCCCATATCGGGCTCCTGGCTCGGTGGGAAGCCTGCTTCTCCCTCTCCCTCTGCCTCTCCCCCCGCTCAGGCTTTCTCTCTCTCTCTCTATCTCTGGGTCTCAAATGAATAATTAAAATCTTAAAAAAAAGAAATAAAAATGAACACAGATTGAGGGATTTGTGAGACAATTTATATAATTGATCTGCCAGCAAAAGGAGAATGCTATCAGTGAAGAAAAAAAGTTTGAAGAAATAAATGTCCATTTTACAGATTTGTTGAAAGTCATACGTTTACATGTCCAAGATGCTCAGCAAATGAAAAATAGGATAAGCTTTAAAAACCATGCCCACCTACGTCATAATTAACCTAGTCAAAACCAAAAAAGAAAAAAAATAGAGAAAATGCCACATTACGTAAAGAGGGAAAACAATTTGGGTGATTACAGATTTCACATCAGAAATCATCCTAGTGGGGCACCTGGGTGGCTCAGTCGTTAAGTGTCTGCCTTTGGCTCAGGTCATGATCCCAGGGTCCTGGGATCGAGCCCCACATCGGGCTCCCTGCTCAGCGGGAAGCCTGCTTCTCCCTCTCCTTCTGGCTGCTGATCCCCCTGCTTGTGCTTGTGCTCTCTCTCTCTCAAATAAAATTTTAAAAATCTTGAAAAAAAAGAAAAGAAATCATCCTGGCCAGAAGATTTTTTTTTTTTTGATGTTATGTTAGTGTGAGAGCCAACCTCGAATCTTTCTGGATATATTGTTCAGGAATGGAAGCAAAATAAAGTCATTCTTAGAGGAAGGAACATGGGGAGAATTTGTTGCCAGCAGCTCTGCTCTACCAGAAATGATAAGGTAAGTCTTCAGACAGAAAGGAATTAATTCTAGAGGGAAACTGGGAAGTTCAAGAAAAAGGGAAGAGCAAAAAAGGGAATTAAGTAAATGTAATAGCATACGTCTCTCCTCTTACGTTCATTAAAATATGTAAGGCTGTTGAAAGCAAAACCGTTAAGGTCTGGTGGGGTTTGAATATATGTAGATATAATGCAGACGACACCTACAACATAAGGGAGTGAGGGCAAAGGCCCTATACAGTTGTAAGGCTTCTATTTTTTCTGAAAGAGGTGAAATATTAACTCTATGTAGACTCTGAAATTAGGCGTGTATAATACCTACAGTAGCCATTTTAAAAACAACATATAAAGAGTTATAGTTAAAACACCAATAGATAGGG